CGGTCACAGAGGAGTAGGATTTCTAGTCAAACAATCACTGAAACGATACATACAAGAGTTTATTGGCATTTCGGATCGGATAGCTGTTCTTAACATTATTATAGAGGGACACAAAAAGCTATGGTCAATTGTACAGATTTATTCTCCAACAGAGCAAGCATCAACAACAGAAATTAAACTCTTCTACGAAGAGCTATCACAAACCTTATCAAGGCATTCACTTAACCACAATATTATAGTAATGGGTGACTTCAACGCTCAAGTTGGAGTAAAACAAAGGAAGGAAGAATTTGTAATGGAAAACTTTGGACAATGGAAAAGACGCCCAAACGGAGAAAAACTAGTGGAATTTTTATTAGAACATAACGCTTCTCAATAGCTTGTATATGAAAAACAAGAAGAAGAAATGAACGTGGATCTTTCCCGACGGCAAGGTCAAAAATGAGATTGACTACATAACAACAAACTATCCAAAAGCCTTCACGGACACGTCACTTTTAACCAAATTTAACTTCAACACAAACCATCGCATGGTAAGAAGCACCCTACGAACAGAACCACTGAAAAAGTCTAGGAAACATATAGCTCCAAACAAAACTGAACACTACAATAAACAAACCCTAAAGAAAATTGCCCAATCCCTTATCGAATCAGCTAAAGAAATAACGAAAGACGACCCTGATGCTCTCACAAGATATGGTAAGCTGGAAAAAATACTAACTCAAGTTAAATGTGAGCACGGTAAAGTGAATAAGTACAATTTAAGTGACAAAACACTACAACTCATAGAGAGTAGGAAAAACTTAGTTTCAAAGCACCCTAAAAAAGAAAATATCAGAGCTATAACCGAATTAAGCAAAGAGACATCAGGAAAGAAGGGAAAACTAAGAGACTGCAAACATTAGAAAAGCACACAAAGAGTTCGGGTGGCGTAAAAAATGCGCTTAAAGAACTTCGTGAAACAAACCGAAACAAAACAAAACGAAAAGAATGGATACCAAAGCTTCACAAAAAGGAGGAAATTTCGTCAAATCATAAAGATATAAATGAAATAGCTACCAAATTCTTCCAGGACCTCTACTCTGATCCGGACAAAAAACAAAAACACGAACCAAGAAACACCAAAGAATACGTTGATCTTGAGCCAGAAATACTCCCTATTGAAATAGAAAAAGCAATATGTAGTCAGAAGATGGAAAAAGCCCCAGGGCCTGATAAAATTATGAACGAACTTCTCAAAGGCACTTTGGAAGATCTACTACCCATACTTTCTCCAATATTTAATGAAATACTTTCGACTGGCTTGATTCCCACACAATGGAAAACATCACACATTATTCTTATATTTAAGAAAAGACAAAAGGAAGTCATAGGAAACTATAGACCTATTAGCTTCACGTCAAATATCTACAAGGTGTTCTCCAAAGTTATTCTGGAAAGAATAAGTAAACAACTAGATGAAAACCAACCACGAGAGCAAGTTGGATTTAGACAAAAATACTCCACCCTGGATCACATACATATAACAAATAATGGAAAAATATAATGAGTATAACAAGAAACTACCTGGCATTTATCGACTACTAAAAAGCCTTCGACAGTATAAGCCACAATGCATTATGGGAAAGCCTGGAACAACAACATCTACTCGAATAGTGAAGCGAGGGTCCAATTAGAATAGAGGTATTTTCCGCAAAGTAGAATGGAACAACTTCGGCCTTAACGTGCAAGGTGTCAAACGGAACCACCTGAGATTTGCGGATGACATAGTCCTGTTTGAAGAAAACCCGATAAATCTAAAGAACATGTTAAAATCACTGCAGGAAGAAAGTTCTTAAGTAGGTCTATCCATGAACAAAGAAAAGACAAAGGGGACCCTCTATCACTGACATTGTTTTCAGCCGCTTTGGAGGGTATTTTCCGCAAACTAGAATGGAACAACTTCGGCCTCAACGTGCAAGGTGTTAAACTGAACTACCTGAGATTTGCGGAAGGCATAGTACTGTTTGAAAAAAACCCGATAAATCTAAAGAACATCTTAAAATCACTGCAGGAAGAAAGTTTGAAAGTAGGTCTATCCATGAACAAAGAAAAGACAAAGGGGACCCTCTAACACCGACATTGTTATCAGCCGCTTTGGAGGGTATTTTCCGCAAACTAGAATGGAACAATTTCGGCCTCAACGTGCAAGGTGTTAAACTGAACCACCTGAGATTTGCGGATGGCATAGTCCTGTTTGAAGAAAACCCGATAAATCTAAAGAACATGCTAAAATCACTGCAGGAAGAAAGTTTGAAAGTAGGAACAAGGAAAATACAAAATTACTCACAAACGCTGAACCAATAACCATTGATATTGACAACCAGCCACTAGAATATGTGACAGAATATATATATCTAGAACAGATAATCTCTCACAAAGAACAAACCACCAAAGAAATTGAGAGAAGAACAGCGAATGGTGGAAGAGGTACTTACTGGTCCTTAAAAGAAATCGTGAAATCCAAGGAGTTAAGCATCCAATTAAAAAGTAGAGTATTTAACACGTGTATACTTCCAGTCATCACCTATGGATGCGAAACTTGGGCACTCACCAGATTTCACAGGGAAAAGTTGAAACGCTGTCAGAGAGCCATGGAAAGAAGTTTAACAAGAATAAGGAAGTTAGACAATGTAAGAAGTAGCACAATAAGGGAAAAAACAAAAGTAGTCGATATAATTACCCGAATAGACCAACAAAAGTGGAGAAATGGTCTAAGAGCGTCACTGATTGGTACCCCAGTGATGGCAAGCGCAATAGAGGGCATCAGCAGACGAGATGGGAAGATGATCTCAAACTCACAGCTGGTCATCACTGGAGAAGGGTAGCGCACGACAAAACCCAGTGGAAAATGTTGGAGGAGGCCTATGACAAGAGGCACACCGAACTGCGGGACATCCTTTAATTTATACATTACATAATTTGCAACTATTTTTTTTCATAATCACGTAATCCCAAAGTTTGGAATAAATGGCTTACCTTATCTTAATGTGAAACCGGTTGCCGCGTCGCCCGCCTTGGACATACTGGTTTTATATCGGTTTTTTCTTTGTTTTATTTGCGCCTGGTACTTTCTACCCTTTAAACGTACCGTGGTTTTACTTGTTCGCATGCTCCTCTTTGCATATAAATTAAAGTAGTTCATTATTATTCATGACATTTATTAAAGGTTAACATTTACATTTTATGAGTCTACATTAACATATTTTTATTAAAATTTATGACAACATATAACTTAAATATTAAATTGTAATTTATTTATATCGTTGGGCTATACATTTTAATTTAGTCAAATTATATTCGAGATACACATGTTAAAGTCTTCGTATGTATTGTTTTGAGGTGCATTAATGTTGTTTTCGATCTCTTCGAAGAGTGACGCGTTGCCAAATATTTCCCAAAATGTCTCCCACACGAATGCGTTTAATTTTATAAAGTCTGTTGTGTGATAGAAGTTATATTGTATTGTTCTCTCTGCGATTGTATCTTGGGTGTTGCCACATTGCAGGTAAGTTCCTATTTCATAATTGCCTGCAGTGTACAATACACAGTTTTCAATTAATAGTTGGTTTTTGTATTTCACTTCTGTATTCATGGTTTGTCCTCCTGCGAGTAGTTTCCATTGTTCGAATTGGTTATCTGTTAGTCAATATTCGTATATAAAACATGCATTTCTTGTTACCAAGTTGGCAAAGTTAAATGCTGATGTTGGTTGAAATCCTGTTAGTATTGCGTAGTTGTAGTGCATGTCTACAAGTGATCTCATTAACATTGTTTTGCCGATGCTTGGTGGTCCGAAGAAGAATAAGGTGTTTTTTTGCCAGTCTAGTCTTTCCAAAGAAATGATTTTTTGTGTCTCTTGCAAATTGAAATAGATCTATATTATTTTGCATTAATAACTAATAATGAAATACCAAAATCTTGGCAATTGATATTGCTGTCTTAAGTCGGTCGTCAAAGTTTCTCGTAAATTGTATGGCAATCCCTTCAGGCGTTCTGCATAAAAATTTCTGAGCCTCCCTTCGTCAAAAGCTTGGTTTTCACATAAGAAAATCACAAGTTGTTGTGATTTTGTTGTGTAAGTTGATTATGCTTTTGTGCACTTCGGAAAGTGGATCGATTTGGAAAGGGATACGATTCATCTCAAGATTCATCGTACTCTTCGTCGTTGATATTATGTAGTTCATTTTCGGGACGGAATAGTAAGTTTTCATCGGTTCTAGTAGTGCGTTCACCCACTCGTCTGTCATGGATATCTCGTGTTGTGCCTTGTGCTGGAAATACACTATCTCTCCTTTCGGGATGCTCATTGTGATTTTCTTGTCTTTTGTCTTAGACCTAAGACCAAGTTGATGAGTTGCACATTTTGCAACTTCGAAATCACTTCTTGTAAGAATTTGTTTAAACGTGTGACGATCAGGGCCGGTAGTAATGTACTCCAAAAGGCACTGAATGTATGCAATTGCAGAACATTTGTATTCCGTTGCTCTGATAGCTTTGCCAAGCTTGCTATTAAACCCCCAGTTTTTTGCGGTGCTGATGTAAATGATATGGTAATGGTGTCGTTTGATTCCTTTAGGGTGACAAATCAACATCTAGCTATGCTGCGCTGTACTGCGCTGTGTTGTGCTGTGTTTCTTAGGCTACGTTTTTTTAACAATCAACATCAAGCTGTGCTGCGCTTTGCTTAGCTCAGTATAAAAGTAATCAGCAACTCGTATAGTAGTTTATCTCGTCAAAAATGACTTTATTTTCAAAAAAACGTAAACATTACGACATAGTTGAATCCGATGAAGATGAAAGTGAAGAAGAAGCGGATATGGATATTTTATGTGTTATTTTGTCGTTAAAAGAGTCCAGTCACGGTAGCTTGTTACCACACACCATACGTGAAAAATACGGAGAATTTTATTTTCTAAAGAATATTACCACTGAAGACGATTTTTTTTAAATATTTGCGAATGACTAAAAATCATTTTAATTATTTACATTCATTAATAAGTCTATATATAAAAAACAAAATTGACTGTAAGAAAGCCATAAGCACAGAAGAGAAATTAGCAATCTGTTTGAGGTAAGTAAATTATTTGAATGCACAAGATAAGGCAATTTTCTCTTTACATTTTCCCTCATGTATGTATTAGTAATTAATTTTGTATGTAGAATAATAATTCATAAAAATTTTACATGGTAAGATAGTGAACCTATTTTGACATATCTTTTCAAAACTTTACATGCAATGCGGCACTACTCTAGTATGTACGTAGTGCGTGCGTGACTTGTCAATATAATAAAACAATGGTAAAAAACGTTAACTTCACTAATGTTACATTATATAAAAAACAAATACTTAGCAAAAATGAAATTAAAATGGTACCGCTAAGAATTTTTAAATTAATCAATTTAAAGGCCGGCAACGCATCTGCGATTCCCCTGGTGTTGCAGTTGTTCATGGGCGGCGGTAGTCACTTACCATCAGGTGAGCCGCATGCTCGTTTGCCCCCTCTCCTATAAAAAAAAAAATTAGCGAAGTAGCATTGGCCTCCTCGCTTGCATACGGTCCAAACACGGTGTTCCCACCGACTGGAAGGTCATTGGCATCTTGTTCAGCTGTATATCCTCCTACAGATTGATTTGAGGCACTACTTGGAGATGTAAACACATTTTGTAATGTATGACAATTGGTATCTGAGGATTGGACACCTTGAGCTGTTGTATACCCTCGAGTACTAGTTAAGGCACTATTATAACTCTCAGATGCATACATATCATTGTAAATGTTTAACTCTTCTTCTTCCGTAACTAAATTAAAAATCTTTCTCTTAAGACGAAGCTGTGCCGGTTTGGCTAATTTTTTTGTACTTTCACAAACACTAAGAAAAAAATGATCCATGTCGTCCATTTTGTCAATTACTTGGTTTCTCAAATCACGTTCTGTTTTTCTTTTCTCTCGGTCTGTTTGCTGGATCTTAACAAAATTTTAAATTTCATGTTGAACACTATGTACATGTTTTCGTGTTAAAGGTGTGCTTGTATTTTGTGATGTGGTTTCGGAACTTGCAGCAGTTATATTAGAAGATTGGCTGTTTTCATTTTCGTTTTCTACTTCAAAGTTGTCCTCGTCCAATTCCGAAACTTGAGTATGATTACTTTCTTGAGACACCTGTGAATTATCTTGGGAATAATTTCCAGTTGTGTTCCTATTTTGCATGAATGGAACAAGGAGTTCCATAACTTTCTGGAATTTCCAAAGACGCGTATTGTTGGCAGCTTGACCACTTTTTCCATCCGTCTGTCTTTTTCAGGCTTCCCTATGGTTGTCTCGCAATTTTTTCCAAGTATTTTTCGCTACTTTGGCTGTAACAAATAATAAATATATATACATCACTACATAATTATGAAAATTTATTATTAACTTATCACTAAAAATTATGAAATAAGTTTATAAAAAAAATAACAAAAGTAGGTAAGGCAGCTGGTTATGATAGAGTATCTCTCGAAATGCTAAGGGCTGGAGAAGGAGTGGTGGCAGACCTGCTGTACACCTTGTTTAATTTATGTTGGGAACTTAAGCGGGTACCGGGAGACTGGTGCAAAGCCGTGATAGTCCCAATATATAAGGGAAAAGGATCACAGCAGGACTGTAAAAACTACCGTGGTATCAGCCTTCTTAGCATTGTGGGAAAACTGTATGCTAAGGTACTAATTGAAAGAGTTATGAAAGAAACTGACGGAAAAATTTGGGATGTGCAAGCGGGATTTAGAAAGGGAATGGGATGTACGGATCAGGTCTTTTCCATGCGCATGATCGCCGAGAAGTTTTTGGCCAAAAACCAAAAAGTTTTTTGTGCGTTCATGGACTTGGAGAAGGCTTATGACAGAGTGGACAGGGATGTGTTATGGCAAACACTGAACTCATTTGGGTTGAGCGCTGGTCTGATACAGGCATTGAAGTCTCTATATAGGGACTCTAGTGCTTGTGTCAGGATCAACGGGGCCTACTCGGACTGGTTTGACATCCATAAAGGTGTCAGACAGGGCTGTGTAGCTTCCCCGTGGTTGTTCAACCTGTTTATGGACAGTTGTTTGGAAAATTTGAAAGTAGAAGAATGCGGGTTAAGAATGGGTGAGTTAACCGTCAAATGCCTTTTGTACGCCGATGATCAAGTCATACTTGCGTCGTCGGCAGCCGAGTTGCAAATGATGGTTACATTAATGAACAGGACATTAAAAGAAAAGGGAATGAAAGTGAACGCAAGTAAGACGAAAGTTATGGTTTTTGAAAGAGAAGAAAGTAAAACGATATGTGAAATAAGAATAGAAGGGGAGTTGGTAGAGCAAGTAGATGAGTTTGTATATTTGGGATGTGTGTTTAGCAGGGATGGTAGATATGATAAGGATATAGAACGACGAGTGAATGCAGGAAATAGAGTGAATGGGGCTCTACACTCTATTGTGAAAAGTCAGAATGTGTCCAAAAAGGCACGTATGGCAATTCACAATGCTGTGTTAGTACCTACTTTAATGTATGGTAGTGAAAGTTGGGTGTGGCAGAAGAAGCATGAGAGTAGAATAAATGCTGTAGAAATGCGGTCATTAAGGAGTATGTTAGGGATGAAGCTGAATGACAGAGTGAGAAATTGTTTAATAAGAGAAGAGTGTGGTTTGCAAGATGATGTTGTGACCAGGATTAAGAAAGGAATGCTTCGGTGGTTTGGCCATGTAGAAAGAATGAATGAGGAAAGAGTGACAAAGCAAATTTATGTTGCAGAGGTGAACGGCATAGTCGGGAAGGGTCGCCCTAGGCGAAAGTTTATCGACCAAATTGGCGATATATTAAAAATGGGCCAAATCAAGAGTACCTTTAACCGACGAGCGTGTATGCGTAGGTATATGGATGTGGAGGAAGCGAGAGAGGTGTGTCAGGATCGTGCCAAATGGAAGTCCATAATCTCTGCCTACCCCTCTGGGTGACAGGCGTGAGTGTTTATGTATGTAACAAACCGACTTCAATTCTTCCCCACTAACTAGTCACTAAAAAGTAATGAAATAATTAATTATCTAAGTATGTCAAGAACTAGAACTTTCAATTTAATTCATAGTTTTTTAAATAGAATCAAAGTTCTAGTTCTTGACATACTTAGATAATTAATTATTTCATTACTTTTTAGTGAATAGTTAGTAGGAAAGAATTGAAGTTGCTTATTATAATATTATTTATTAATTCGCAGGTACATGGCTACAGGTAGTTCATTTACTACAATTGGTTACAATTTTAAGATAGCGGGCCCTACAGTTTTAAAAATTGTATCCAAAGTTTCCAATGCAATATGGAAGTGTTTACAGCCAATATTTATGAAAGAAATGACTACAGAATTGTGGCTGGAAAATGAGCTCTATTTCAGGCAGAAATGCAATTTTCCAAATTGTGTAGGCGCTATTGATGGGAAGCATGTTTATATCAAATCACCTTCCAACTCAGGATCAGACTATTTTAACTATAAGAAATCGTTTTCGTTAGTACTACTTGCTGTTGTCGATGCAAGATATAAATTCATTGCAATAGACTTTGGATCAAAGGGACGTTTCAGTGATGCAGGAATATTTAGCAACTCTGCATTTGGAAAGAAACTAAAAGATAATTCATTATTTCTACCAGAATCCAAATCTTTAGAAGAAGGTGGTATGGAAATGCCTTTCATATTTGTTGGTGACGAAGCATTTCCACTGCTTCCAAATTTAATGAGACCATACCCTCAATCGCAACTAAATAATCAGAAAAGAATATATAACTATCGTCTAAGCAGAGCACGGCGAGTTGTTGAACAAGCGTTTGGAATACTAGCAGCACGATGGCGAGTATTTCATACTGCATTTGGTTGTAATATCCACACAGTTGACAAAGTTATTAAAGCGGCCTGTGTTCTGCATAACTATTTGAGTGAAGATAACGAAATTCAGACTGAAAACAGTATTAACAGTGTGTTGCGTCCTTTGCGACGAGGAGGCAATAGCCCTTCTATTACAGCCTATCAGATAAGAGAAGAATTTTCCAATTATTTTAACGGCAGTGGTAGCGTACCTTGACAAAATACAAGTGCCCATATAAATGAAAATTAAATAAAGACAAGTTTAATAAGCACGTAAAAATGTTCTTTTATTTCGTTTTTTAAAAAATGAGAAAGTATCTATTTATTTACAATGTTGTATCTACATACATAGACTCACGACTGTAATCCCATTAGGGGGTAGTCAGAAATCACACTACAACTGTTTCAAATTTAATGTATTGAAACAGTTGCAGTATGATTTCAAAGTAAAGTGAAGTGATCGCGTTAACTCGACGTTCAGTGAAGAGATAAATAATTTCTGTACTGAACGCCGAGTCAACGCGATTACTTTACTTTGAAACCTATGCTAAGTCAACTGGTAAAAAGAGAGGTGTAATCGATTATTCTAATATAGGTGTACCAATGAATGATGAACCTCGGAGTGGTTACATTTTAATTAATTTACAAGTTATAAAACTGAAAATTTAATAAAAAAATTATTTAATGAGTACATATGGAAATCTTTTATACAAAAATAAGTTTATTTAATTAATGATTTTATTGCAACACTAGTAAATTAATTACAATGTAACAACTCCGAGGTTCATCATTCATTGGTACACCTATATCACTCAAATGCTTCTGTTTACCTCGTTCATGATCACGACCTTGAGTTGAGTCTCTGGTTAGTAGCTAACATATCCGGGATTATAACTGTGAGTATATACATACAAAATTGTACCAATACACCTATAAGCACACATAAATACACACGCACACACACACTTATTAAGTAAGTACTTACTGTTTTCCATCTTTGTTGTTTGTATAATGGCGCGCCAGGAGGCTTCTCTTTTTTCTGAATCTTTATAATATGGGGATGTTGGATTCCACAAACATTCGTGTTTCCGAACTTCTTCTATAAAAATCTCCATTTTTTAATCAGACCACTGCCCTTGATGAACAAATTTCGACACAACACGTGTTACCTGACCTGTTTGAATGAGCGAATGAAACTCGTTCGTTCTTGTTTGTTTGTGCGCGCATACACTAGTGCGAGCGAGATGGGAGTACGAGAGTGAGAGAGACGTCTGAGGGCGATGGAGGGGCACGTAGCGTGCTCCATGTTTGAAAAACCTAGCACAGCTTGACACAGCGCAGCATGGCAGAGCTCCATAAAAAACATAGCACAGTTCGGCACACTCAGCACGGCGAGTAGCGCGCCTCGTTCGAGACTGCTGCGTTTTTAAACAGAGCGTAGCCTCACACAGCGCAGCACAGCATGGTTTGTTTGTATCCTCATTCAAATATTAGACGAGCGAGTTGACCAAACATAGCATAGCGCAGTACAGCGCAGCATAGCTCGATGTTGATTTGTCACCCTTATGGTCAGCGATGACTTTCTAAGGACTGACTTTTTTTCTGTTGGTATTATATTTTCTCGCTCCCATTGAGCAATCCAGTGAGTTGCTGTTGTCCTCGGTCGTGGAGCTGGTGTCACCACCTCTTGTATTGTCGTTCTCATCATTTTGGGGGATTGGTGATGGGTAGTCGCTGAATATGTTGTTAATTTCCTCCGTAGATTGTTCGATTTCAGATGTGAATTGTCTTCATCTGCTTGGCCCGGCTTGCGGTTCTCCTTGTCCTCGTCCCAACTCTTGTTGTCTTCCGCCGTTATGGTATGGTCCATCTCGTCGTCCGATCTGATATACGGAGTGTCTTGAAGTTGTTCGCTGTCGCTCATTTTCGCTGATTAAATATTGCTCTACGTTGATACTTGTTATAATATGATATGCTGCGTACATACTGATGCTCCCTTATGCGTTGCATGCCCTTTTATACCACTTTTTTGTGCGTGTGTGCGTTGTAACCCCGCCTTTCACTTTGCTTCATTGCAATGTGTTTACCGTTCGTGGAAAGTTTTCACTGTCCTGGTTTAGGTTAGGTAGGTGTGTAGGTGTATTATTTAGGTGTTATGTGAGTGGACGTGTGACGTCATTCATTTGGAGAACAAAGTGATCCATGTGAATGACGTCATACGTCATACGTATAGTAGAAGAACCTAACCTAACCCCCCCTCCCCTAACTAAACCTACCCTTACCTAACCAACCCCAACCTAACCTAATCGAATTTCATCATATTAAACTTAATTTCTGCATTAAATCTCATGTTAACCCATTTAAACCGTTTTTAACTGCTTGGTTAACTTTAACTAACCTCATTTGGCCTCCCATAACAATGTCTAACCTATCACTAATCATTGCCGTAACAATATTTCAGGGGTCAAGTTATGTTGGATTTATGATATTACAACTTAACCTCAAACCACGTGGTTGCAACGTTCTCTCAGACATCGAGGTTATAGCGTGCCAGTGAACACGAGGCATCCGGTGACAGTGCAGACTTCAGTGGAGCCTTCGAAGACGGACCGAGGAATCAGCCGAGGATAAATTGCCGCAGCTGGAGACACTATTGACGTCCATCAGGTAGCCACGAAGGATCTCCTAGACCCCTTATTCCTGACCACCCGAGTTTGGGCTCTTTTGAGTCGGGATCTCAAGTTCTCAAGACCCCGCCACATACTACACATTCACCCCACTCATACCAAGTCCCCCCCCCATTGCCCCTACCCGTACCTTCCACCCCTCTTCACACATTTCAGCAGAATAATATTATCCCGACCAAATACCCCACCCAAAAACTTTAGCCTCCTCCCCCCCATTGTTCTAAATACCGTATATACGTTTCCCACGAAACTCCCCCTCCCCCTCGAGGTTTACCTTACCCCCGCGAGCTATAACTCAGAAACCGGAAGAGCTAGACACCCCGTGTGAGGGCTCATTTAAATCAGGAAAAGAAGTTCTAACTTTTGGCCCCTACAGAATTTCTAAATTGCCCCATAGTTCAATACCATCACGGACAAAAACACTTCAAGCATACTCTATGACTCACAGTACACTACACCGGAGATTCTGCAACGGGCTCTTTCTTCGCGTCCAACGTACTCCACACTGCAGTTCAACAACCGAGGAACAGCAGTGAGTTCACAATAAAAAAAACTATTAGTATAATATATCTAACTATATATAAAGCATTACCTGATTTTTTCTATCTATTAAGGCAACCTTTATCTAGATATTAAGCACACATTTGTATAACATACTTGTATATATAAAATAGAATTTAAAAAAATGTCCGAAAACAAAGTTGTCTTGTCGGGTGTGGAGACCGCTGCGTCTAACAAGCCTTCTTAAAGCCACCCTGTTGCGCCGCCCAGAGCTCCACGATCGCTGCGGGGAAAAGTATTAACAAAAACAAACTTAGCAAAAACAACTAACAGCGAAAAGTTGCCGCGGCCATCATCTCAGCCTGCAGCAGAAAAACGTTCTGTGGACTCAGCCCCGACAGACACGCACACCACTAGAAAAAAGGCTTCTTCGCACACCGCCACCCTACGAACAAAAATTTCGCAAAATTCTGTAAAAAGTGACAGCTCGATCCGGTCCTCCATTTGTGACCCGGCGGAGGTGGCTTTTGATAAAGTAGCTAACTGAAAGCAAGAAGAAATTCTCCCACTTCCAATCCTATCGGACGAAGAACTCTCGATCACATCTGTGCCGGAATCACCATTATCGGAAGCACCGGAAAAAAGTAGACCCAACCTGCTCATTAACTCCAACAGGCGACTGGGGTGGAAATGGATATGGCGACAAAAGAAGCGAACGAAATGCTTTTGAGAGGGAAGGAGGCATTAGAAATGGCAGGGAATATGAAGAGGGAATGCAAACAAACAGCTTTAGAAAGTCTGCAGTCCCTCTACGAGATGGTCCTGGCATTGTCCGATTCGCGATCTAGACATAAGCACAATTTAGAAAAGCAACGCTCACGCAACGCTCATGAGCTAATGCCAGTGGAGCGGGCACATAATAAGCTTATGACACAACTTGTGAAAGGAATGGCATCCGAGATAGGCCAAGGCAGGACTGATATAAAGAATACTCTCCAAGAATCTAAGGCGATAAGGGGCTGGCTGGATTTTGAAACCCAAGAGCCATTTCGTAGAACATCGGAAATACTTAGGGCTGTAACGGATTTAGAGAGGCGCATAGAGGTAATCCAAAATAACCTGACTCAGCAGAAGCGGGGGTTGCGGAGAACATCTTACCTCACCTAAGAGTGGAACTCACTGGAGTAAAATCCAGCGTGGAAACACTCAGTATGCAATTGGATGACATGCGCCGAATTATCGAAAAATCCGGTAATAATACCAAAGAGGTTCTTGAGACTGACCAGAAAACCTTATTACGCCTTAAATCACCGCCATCCTGCCCCTCACAGGAAATAAACAAAAAGTTGGAGCAGGAGCTGGAGGGAATGAAGAGGTCGCTGAAGGAGCTAGATGAAAACATCAGATCTGGACTCTCAGTCTTATCTTCGGCGGACTCTGGCAAAACATTCCAAACCAGTATCAGAGAACAGCTTCAACCCATTGAAGAACATTTAGGTGTTATGTCATCTGAGCTGAGGACGATCAGGGAACAGAAACGGGCTTCATCACCTACAGCCACGAGTCTAGCAACGGAGCTTGCACAAGCTGGTGAAGCAGCAACAATACCAAAAAGGACTTACGCCAGAGTGGCTGCAAGCCTGCCCCTTCCTAAACCCAATCACACTCTCATAATCACATCAACTGATTCGAAGAATACAGCCGACAACATCATTGAGAGAATCAGGGAGGCCCTAGATACTAAAAAGACTGGAGCCAAAGTGGATAGGGTAAGGAAGGCGAAAAACCAAAAAGTTGTCCTCAGTTGTAACACCAAGGAGGATCTTAACCTTGTCCAAAACAGGGTTAAGACAAACAAAAATTTAAAAGTAGAGGTTGCCAGGACAAACAATCCCTTGGCGATGATCATAGACGTGCTATCGTATCACAGCGACGTCGAAATCGTCGAAAATATACTGGCGCAGAAAAACACCTTCTGCATGACGTCGATGAAAAAGAACGAACAATCAGAGTTCGATACAGGAAAAAGGCGAGGAACCCACATGAGTGCCATCCTGCACTCGTGCTCTCTCCACAAGTGCACAGGTGCTTCATTGATGCGGGCAAAATTTACATTGGCCTCCAAAGGAGACCAATAATGGACCACTCTTCCCTAGTGCAATGCACTAAATGTCTTGGTTTTGGTCACACAAAGGCAGTGTGCCATGAAAAGGAGGAACTCTGCAGTCATTGCGGAGAGACTCATGGGACAAATGCCCAACCAGACTGGAGGGGAGACCCGGACCTGGCACACAATGCTTTTAGCTTTGATTGTCGGGAAAAGCAGAAGTGGGATGCCATAGCACGATCTCGCATAACATATTGCTAAGGGCAGCCAAAATAACACCATCTCAAACATTAGTAGGTCAGATACACACATTAAAATCATTCAGGTGAACTTGCAACGCTCCAGGGTAGCAACGGCGGAACTACTTCAGGTTGCAACGGATAAAGGAGTGTCGATCGCCATTGTACAGGAACCCTATGTGGGAAAAAATGGCGTTAATAAAGAACATCCTGGCACGCGAGTTATTCAATGCAGCCTGAATAGACAAAAACCAGTGAAGGCCGCAGTCCTTGTCTTCGGGAATCAGCTGGAGATCATTCATGATCCACAGCTGGTTACTGAATTAGAAGCGGCGGTGGTTCTGGTCGCAGGAAACCTAAAATTAGGAGTTGTGTCAGTCTACCTCGAGGGGTAGCAAGATATCAATCCCTACCTTAGACGAATCCAAGCAGCATGTGCAAAACTTCACACAAACAACATCATAGTGGCTGGAGACGTAAATGCTTGGAGTCAATGGTGGGGAAGCAACACAGAAGACGAAAGAGGCGCGGCATATAACACCTTCCTCAATGAAATGGATCTCCATATCCTCAACACCGGTGACATACCTACCTTCGAAACTTACAGAAGGTGGAGAATCTGCTCGAGCATAGTAGACGTAACTGCCTGCAGTCCGTCACTTCTCGGCAATGTGGAGGACTGGAGAGTGGAGAGAAGTCTAATTACATCAGACCATAATGCCATAACATTTACATTGCGCACTAAAACAGCCTTAAAACCATTACGGCCCTGCACAACGCGCAAATACAACACCAGGAAGGCAAAATGGTCAGACTTCTCATCACACTTCAAATCACTACTAGAAGAAAGAGCCATAACTCCCACATTAATCGAGGGGATGGAAACCCATGAGGAACTAGAATCCATCACAATAGCCTACACAAAAGTAATCCAGGAATCTTGCGACGAGACTTTTCCGAAAGTAGGCATGAGGGGGGTAAATGCAACGCCCCCATGGTGGTCAAAAACCCTCAACCAACTCAAAAGAGAAGTCCAAAGGAAAAAAAGACGCATAAGAAATGCGGCACCAAGTCGAATACAACACGTTATAGATGACTACATAAACTGCAAAAAACAGTACACCATAAAAGTTGAGGAGGCGCAAACCGAAAGCTGGAAAGAATTCTGCACGACACAGGACAAGGAGAGCATGTGGGATAAAATTTACAGAGTTATCCGAAAATCCGCAAGAAGATATGAGGACATGCTCCTAAGAAACAACCAGGGTGAAACCCTGACATCTGAAAAGTCAGCAGAACTCTTGGCCCAAACATTTTACCCTGACGACTGTGTGGTAACCGATCAGCCGTACCACACCAAAGTACGAGAGCTGACGGACTTCAACAAATACCTAGGTTTGTCAGAAGATAATCCAGATTTTACAGAAGCGGAGCTTGATTCAGTGTTACAAACACTTAACCCAAAAAAAGCCCCTGGACCAGATGGGCTAACATCTGACATCTGCTCCGCTGCAATTCACTGCAACAGGAAGGTATTCCTAGCGATAGCCAACATGTGCTTGAAAATGGCATACTTTCCCAAGCAGTGGAAAACTGCACACGTGGTCATCATTCGTAAGCCAGGGAAGGATGACTATACTCATCCAAAGTCATACCGACCCATAGGTCTCCTGTCAGTACTCGGAAAAATAGTCGAGAAATTGATGGTGGGCGAATCTAGTGGCACGTCCTCCCAACTCTATATAAAAACAAGTATGGCTTCATGCCTCAACGTGGTACTGAGGACGCCCTCTATCATCTATTGGAACATATTAAAAACGAAGTGAGGAATAAAAAGATCGTCCTCGTTATTTCACTAGATATAGAGGGAGCCTTCGACAACGCTTGGTGGCCAGCATTGAAACTGCAACTAGCCAAGAAGAAATGTTCCAAAAACCTCTACGATATGGTTGGCTCTTACCTTCAAGACCGAAAAATCACAGTCAACTACGCCAGAGCAACCAGTGAGAAGGGAACTACAAAGGGCTGTGTTCAAGGATCTATTGGTGGACCAACCTTTTGGAATGTTATCCTAGACTCACTGCTGCACCAACTTACGTACGAAGGAGTATACTGTCAGGCATTTGCGGATGACGTTGTCTTGGTGTTCTCAGGACACTCAACAAGTGCCCTGGGGCAACAAGCCAACGGCACTTTAAAGAGGGTAACGAAATGGGGAACAAAGAACAAGTTAAAGTTTGCAGCGCACAAAACAAATGCAATGCTCATAACGAAGAAACTTAATTTCGACTCCCCTAAGCTGCATATGTCTGGCAGCAGAGTGAACCTCGTAGAGGAAATTAAAGTACTTGGTCTCATCATCGACCGTGGACTCATCTTTAAACCGCATGTAGCAGCCGCATGCAAAAAAGCGGCTGACATATACAAGCAGCTTTCATGCGCGGCCAAGGTGACCTGGGGTCTCATTGGTGAGATTGTAAGGACAATATACGTTGCAGTCGTCGAGCCTATAGTAATGTACGCTTCGAGCGCGTGGTCTTCAGCAACAGAACTACAGATGATTAAAGACCAACTTAACACGTTGCAAAGGGGCTTCGCGCAGAAGATCTGTAAAGCGTACCGCACGGTGTCGCTCACTTCCGCACTCGCCATCTCGGGTCTGCTTCCGCTAGACCTGAGAATACAAGAGGCGTCTAGCCTTTACAAGACCAAGAAACAAGGCTCACTAGAGACTACTTACCACCAGGAAGAGAGCTTGAAAACCGTGTAAATCACTTGGACCAACCTCATCCCTCTAAACTCATCAAATTGGATTATGAGTTACTGGAAACGGTAGAAAAAACAAATCTCCACCAACTAACCGGCCCTCACATATACACTGATGGAAGCAAGATAGAAGGGATGGTCGGAGCAGCCTTAACATGTTGGGAAGATGGCAGGGAGACCAGTAGTTCCACCTTTAGACTGGACCCATCCTGCACAGTTTTCCAGTCCGAGCTCTACGCCTTCCTCAGGGCAACCAAGCTAGCAGAATCAAGGACAGAACGCGTTATTAACATAATGAGCGACTCAAGATCTTCGCTCGATCTGCTGGCGAACCCTAAAGCAAGCCATCCCCTATCGAAAGCCATACAAGAAAGCATAGGGAAAATGAGAAAAGAGGGAAGAAAAATAAGACTATTCTGGTTGAGGGCCCATGTAGGTACGTCCGGAAATGAGAGAGTCGACGAGCTTGCCAAGGCGGCGGCACTCCGGGAAACAGCCACTCTAGACTATGACAAAATTCCCGTGTCCTATGTTTAAAAGAAAATCAGAGAGGAAACTGTTCGGATCTGGCAGGACAGATACGAGACCTCCACCACTGGGCATGTCACCAAAACATTCCTTCCGGATATAGCAAAAGCATACCGGATAGTGAGGAAAACCAAGTTGACACCCACACAGGTACAAGTGTTAACAGGACGTGGTGGAATTGCGGAATACTTGCACCGCTTTAAATTAAAAGACACTCCAGGGTGCGAGTGCGACCCGAATGTTAGTGAGTCAGTGTGGCATGTGATTCTTGAGTGTCCCCGCTATCAAGCGGCACGTCTGGACCTTGAGTTCCGGATAAACGCCAACCTTAATAAATCTGACCTACATAAAATAATCGAAGAAGATGACAAAATGCACAAATTCCTGGCATTTGTGGTGTCCATCTTCCGCGCCGCTGCGATGCGCAACGCCACAAACAATCCATCCCCCAGACAAAAGCAAACTGTTGCGGAGTCTGCGGAAGTTTGCATAAAAGAAAAGAGCATCCCAGCCAATAAAGTAGAACATCAGCTAATTGCATGCGCTGAAAGAGGCAATCCAGGCCTGAGAATTTGAGGAGTAGCTCTCTTCAATATAACAACACAGAGCGTTTCGGGCTAAGCTTTTGCTCAACAGTGGGCCGAAACTATGTCAAAATCTCTCATGGTCTCGCAAGCTTACTAAACGGTAGTACCTTCAAAACGAGCATGAAACGCAAAACATACGATGCGCAACGTAAGGTCGAAAAACAAAACGATCTTGCTGTTCACATGGAGCGAACAGAAAACTCCATTCGCCCAGGCATACTCACTGCTAACGAGACTCGGTGAGACGCATCATAAGTGTGGATGCCATGGTGATCTCGTATGAGAAAGGTGAAGTCGTGGACCACATTGGTTGCATAAAAGCCTCAAATAAACATGAAATAGTCGTGTATGAGGATAGGGGCGAAAACCTGAGCTTCCTCAAACATCACGACTCGACTATGGCAACTCAACACCTAACAGCAAATCCAGAAACACTTAGTGCTTGCAACTGAAAACGGCCCAAGAAAAGGCCGCAGCCAGAGAAAAAATTACCAAAAGTTCTGAGTCTCAAAGCGGGGTAAGTGCATTAATTAATACCATTAGTGCAGCGGCCCAAAGCATTCCAGGAAGAGCAATCCGAAAGTTAAGAAAGATAAGGCAAGCCGAAAACTTAGTAAGAGAGCCTTTGAGAGTTCTCAAGAAAACCCAACCCACCTACACTAGACCCTGTTCGGGACGAGTCAGCCCGCCTAAGCTTCTACCGGCGATTGGGCCTAAGGACCACATAATCAACGCGGTTGATCATCAATCAACCAGGGTGATGCTAGAAGACAGGATCCTGAACATGGCGGAAGCCATCTCGAGAACCTGTGAAACGGGAGATCCTTGGGGAAGTTGGACGGTGCCGACAATAAATTGGGTCAATGGGGTCCCGGGGTGTGGAAAAACAACTTGGGTTATAAAACAATTCGATGCGGAGAATGACTTGATTGTCACTACAACAACAGAAGCAGCTAAAGACCTCAGGGGAAAATTAAGCAACCGCATTGGCACCGACGCAAAAACAAAAGTGCGCACTATGGCCTCAATTTTAGTAAATGGCATGAGCAGGCAAAACAGAAGATGCACTCGACTTTTAGTCGACGAAGCTCTCATGTACCATTTCGGGGCCATAGTAATGGCAATGCGACTGAGTGGAGCGGAAAAAATACTGCTCATCGGTGACATCAATCAACTTCCGTATATCGACAGGGAAAACCTCTTTGCGATGCAATATACTCGCCCAAGCCACGTGACCACAATCAGCCAAGAACTCCTGTGTACGCGCCGGAATCCGATAGATGTGGCATATGCCCTGAGTGAAATCTACAATGACATATATTCATCCAGATCTCAGGTGCATTCACTGGAAAGGAAATGGTACACAGGAGTTGTCATTTCAGGTACCCTGCCAAATACATTATATCTTGTATACACACAAGCAGAAAAGGAGTCCCTTACAAGCCAGGGATATGGTTCGGGTCCTGGGTCACGAATTTTAACCGTACATGAGGCCCAAGGCCTCACATACGGGACAGTGGTCATAATGAGGACAACAACAGAGAAGCACAAAATTTATGACAGCGTCCAACACGCAGTAGTGGTAGTGTACAGGCACACAGTCTCCTGTGTATATTACACGGACGATTGCGACGATGCGACTGGAAGGCTGATCGAAAGCGCGATGGCTGCGACAACAAACAGAATTAAAGAATATAACCTAAAAATTGCACTAAGAAGCAGAGACGCAGTTGTCGTAGAGGCCCTGACAATGGCGACTTAATATAGCTGAAGACGGAGCGGTCTCCACGACGACCGAATAATAATAAAAAAAGAAAAAAAAGAAAAATAAAAAAAAATATGTATATATTATAAAATTAGGAACTAGATTATAAGTTGAAAAAATGAAAAAAAAATAACTAAAGTATTTGTAATAATACTTATATATAATAAAATAAGGTATAATAAAAATTTGTATGGTAAGTTAATAAAGCATGTTAGGAATTAGAACTCAAAAATAATAAAGTAAAAAGAAAGAAAAAAAAAGAAAAAAAAATAGGCATGATAATTAAAAAAATATAAAAAACAAATAACAAAAGAAAAAAAACAAATAATAGAAAAAAAAGAAAATAATAATAAAAAAAACGATAGTATATATAATGATAATTAATAATAATAAATAAAAAAAACTGTGAACTCACTGCTTAGGCTTAAGTAAATTTACTATAATAGTAGTGTAAGGAGTACAATGTAAAATAAAAAAAGTTAATAAAGAAATATAAAGCGAAAAAAAGGTATGGACCTCGAGCTTGTAGTGAAAACATATTTATATATAAAAAAAAACCAACCCCAACCTAACCTAATCGAATTTCATCATATTAAACTTAATTTCTGCATTAAATCTCATGTTAACCCATTTAAACCGTTTTTAACTGCTTGGTTAACTTAAACTAACCTCACTTGGCCTCCCCTAACAATGCCTAACTTATCTCTAATCATTGCCGTAATAATATTTCAGGGGTCAAGTTATGTTGGATTAATGATCTTACATTAATTATACATTAATACATTAGAAATAAGTTTGCCTTTGATTTCGTCTTACTTTTATAAAGTTTGGAAACTTAAGCATTTTATTTCTGTGAATAACACAAAATTTTATAGTTTTTGTATCGCGGGTGCAACAAGTTGACAGTAACTTTTTGTACCCAAACCATCAGAAAACTGCATTTTTAGAACATCATAATTCCATAAACTCTAAAAGCCACAGTCGAGAAATTCTTCAGCCTCCAAGACTATATTAATAATTTTACGCTTTGTTTGAAGTTGAAGAAAAGTACATAAAACATAAACACTCACGCCTGTCACTGTGTTGGTGCTATAGGTGGTATACACGTGTAGATGTTTGTACTTCGACTGTCTGGGTCCTCCTTTTTTAATCAATGTTGAAGCTACTTTTGGGATATTAGCAAAAAGATGGTACGTATATCGTAGAGAATTTGAATGTAAACTACAACAACTAAAAAACAACAAACAAAACAACAACAAACAAACAGCCCAGTTATTTAGATAATTGTGTGACTGGTAGTGACACGAGTATGTTCGCCGATACAAACATTGAACAAGAAACACAAAATGTCGGAATAAAGGAAGGATATAAAGATCGAGAAAAATATTGTGCCTATTTTAATAATCAAGGCACTGTACTTTAGCAAGACACATGTATAGCATCATTACTTAATCGGAATAATTAGCAAAATAAATTGCACTTACTGTCTGGAGTATGAGTTTCTTTCACAATTTCTTCCCAAATTGTATCTTTAACATCAGTGCATTTATAAGTGTTCAGAAGTATATCTAAGTGGATGTGTCCTTCTTGTACTAATATAACTAAACGTAAACGATCCAGTGTCAATACGCCTGTCCAACAAACGATAGTACCACTCGTAGAGAATTCAATGAATTCGTCCCTTGAAAATTCATGCTGTTCATTAACGGATTCCCAATTATTTTCGGCAAATGACGACAATCTCGTCACCATGGGCAAAATTAGTACCTTGTTGGATAAAAAACTTAATAATTATCTATCGGATTTCGTGGAAAGTTTTAGAAAAGCATTGAAAGATGACGTTAAAAACCTTGTTCAAGCAGAGATGGACTCAATGGTGCAGCAGCTTAAAGACGACTTTACTGTTACCACTAACTTTATATGTGATGAACAGTCTTCCTTGAAGCAAGAAATTGAGAATAAGAGTCATATAATAAAACACCTAGAATCTGAAACTCTTCGATTTCAAAAGGAGATTAATGTTCTAACCAATCGTTTAACATCTATTGAAAATATATCCCGTAACAAGAATTTAGAAATTCAGTTAGTTCCAGAAAGTCGAAATGAAAATCCAATGCTTTTATACTGCAACCTGTGTAAAACTGTAGATCTTCAAATAGACGATGAGAACATTCATTCTTGCCGTAGAGTTGCAAAATACGAAACCTCCTCCGATCGCCCTAGAAATATTATTGTAACTCTCATTAACCCACGTTTAAGGGATCAAGTTCTCTCCGCATGTTATCGTTATAATAAAGCCCACAAAGACAATCCCTTGAATACTAATGACATCGGATTACATTGTGAAAAGCGAACTGCGACTGAACACCTTTCTCCGGAATGTAAGGCACTTCATGCTGCAGCTAGAAAATTTGCAAAGGAAAAGAAATATAAATATGTATGGGTTAAGTACGGGCGTATATATATCCGTAAGGAAGACACTGCGGCTTGCATACACATTAGAAATATGGATTGCTTAAAGAAGCTTTCGTAATATCATTATTTGTCTTTTTTTTTTTGCTATACTTGGTTTATGTATTTTGTAATTTTACTATTGTATAATGTTGATTTACTATCAAAATGTTAATCGCTTTAGATCCAAAACAAAAGAGTTCTACCTAAATGTACTTAATAATGATTACGACATTATCTGTCTAACTGAAACAAACTTGAATAGTACTATTTTTGACGGTGAACTCATTGACACTCGTTATAATGTTGTAAGGTACAAACAGTCTACGAAGTCTCGTAAAGGTGGATAATTTTGCAACTGGAGCATATATATCATTTAAATCAAATATATCCTGTTGTTCGAACCCTCTAGCAACTAACTTAGCTTTATACTTTTTGACATTATTTGCATGTTTAATCTTAAAAACCCACTTACTGCTCACTGTTTTCACATTCAACGGTACATTACAAAAATCCCATGTCTTATTGTCCCTTAGATTTTGTAATTCCCTTGCAATAGCTTCACTCCACTTATTAGCATCACTTCTTTGCATAGCCTCACGCTCACTTTTGTCCAACTGCACATTATTACACTTATAGAAAGATGTTTGTTTGTTTGTAAGAACACGCCTACTTCTTTCTTCTCTGGATGGACTGATACCTTCCAGTAAATGTTCTTCATCACTGCATGGTAAGTAATCACTTTCACTGTTGCATTCTGATTCATCATCTGCATCACTTAATGTATGGGTCAACTCTGTTGCTTCGTCCAACCCAGTCATGAACTCATCTACATCTGCCTCATGGTTACTATCTTGCACACATTTCTCTTTCAAATCCATAGACACCATAGATTCTTCTTTCTTATCTTCCTGCACTTAAAATTTTTCATTCTGACAATCTTGGTTGAAGAAAACAACATCTCTTTTTATCTCCACTTTATTCATTTGTGTAAAATAAATTCTATATCCTTTGACGTCCTCTTCGTAGCCAACCATCAAGCCTTTTTTACCTTTCTTGTCCCATTTCTGCCTTCTTTCCTTTGGAATGTGAACATACACTTCGGTACCAAATACTCTCAACTGGTGAATATCAAACCTTTTATTAAACCATATTTCAAATGGAGACCTTCCATTTTCATGACTCTAACCAGTTCGGTTCAAGACATACACTGCTGTATTTACTGCTTCAGCCCACAGTTTCTTTGGTAAGTTCGCTTCATGTAACAAAGTCCTTGCCGCTTCCACCAATGTTCTATTTTCTCTCTCAGCCTTCCCATTTTGTTCAGGGGTATAGGGCACTGAAGTTCGATGTGTAATTCCACGTCTTGAAAGCATTTCCTTCACTTCTTTATTCACAAATTCTAGACTATTGTCACTTCTAAACACTTTAATTCTATTTCCAGTCATGTTATCAGCCTTATTTAAGAAATTTTCAATGCAATGTTTGATATTATTTTTTGTTTTAACAACGTAAACACTCCTGAAATTTGAATAATCATTCTTCAAAATGATAAAGTATCTTGACCTACCAACAGACGCTTCTTCCATTGGGCCACAAGTGTCAGCATGGATATACTCACATATCTTTGTACTCGCATATTTACTCTTGCCGAATGGCAATCGATGTATTTTTCCAACCAAAAAACTTTCTCACTCAGGTTTAGAAGTTTGTTTCACAGCGACATTGTTTTTCCACAAAATATCTTTTACGTAAGTAAAGTTATGATGAGCCAGTCTTTTGTGCCACTCATTTAAATCGTTCTGCATCAGTTTAACATTGCTCGCAACCTTGCACTCGCTTTTATAACGCAAATCCAAATAATAAGAATTTCCAATTCGTTTGGCAACTGCACAAACTTGTTTACATTTGTAGAATTTACATGAACTGTCATCTGTCATCATAACGTTACCTTTGTCTGTGGCGCGATTGACTGAAAACAGATTCTTTTCTAATTCCGAGACGTACAATACATTGTCTATGACCATTTCAACCCAATCGGTCCCATTCGATACCTGTACCGCCATCTGTCCGCACCCAAGTACACTAATTACCGCGCCACTACCGACGATTACTGATTTTTGCAAAGTTTTTGAGAATGATGTAAACAATGCTCGACACATGTGTTCACTGGCACCAGAGTCTACTAACCACCTTGATTTAAACACTTTATATGATGAGTTAGACACTATAAATGCATTACTCTTCGTTTTGTCCTCAGTCTTACTAGCTTTCTGTTTTCTAAACCGACACTGCGCCTTGTAATGTCCGACTTTTCCACAATAGTAACAGTTATTTTTATTATTCTTATTATTTAAGTTATTCTCACTGCTATTTTTATTACTTTTGCACTCACTTTGATAATGTCCAAATTTGCCACAAGTATTACATTTTACATTACTTTTATTTTTCACGACGAACGCGGATGAGGATGAAGTTTGCTGGGATTCCTCGTTCTTTCCTATCACTCTCTCCTCTTCAGTTAATAACCTGGCCACCAAGTTTTC